ATATATTTTATAATTATATATTATAATTATATAATATAATATTATATATGTATATAATGGCATACTATTGAGCCATAAAAATAATGAAATCTTGCTATTTGCAATGACATGGGTGGAACTAGAAAGTATAATGCTAAGCGAAAGAATTCAGTCAGAAGAAGACAAAAGCCATATGATTTCACTCATATACGGAATTTAAGAAATAAAACAGATGAGCAAAGGAAAGAGAGGAAGAGAGAGACATACCAATAAACAGACATTAACTATAGGGGAGCAAACTGATGGTTACTAGAGAGGAGGCGGGTAGAGGTTTGGGTGACATAGGTGATGGCGATTACAAAGTGCACTTGTCGTGATGAGCACTCGATGATGTATGGAAGTGTTGAATCACTATATTGTATACCTGAAACTAATATAATACTGTATGTTAACTATACTAAATTAAAATGAAAACTTAATAATAAACAAAGATGGAGATATCACAATCTCACATTTCAAGATATACTATAAAGCTGTAACAATCCAAACAGTATAGTGTACTAGCACAAAAACAGACATACAGATCAATAGAGCAGAACCCAGAAATAAACCCACAATCATATGGCCAATGAATCTACAACAAAGGAGGCAAGAACATACAATAGGGAAAGACAATCTCTTCGATAAATGGTGCTGGGAAAACTGGACAGCTACATATGAAAGAATGAAACTAGACCGTTATGCACACTATACAAAACATAAAGTGAATTGAAGACCTAAATGTGGGACTTGAAACCATAAAACTCCTTAAAGAGAACATTGGCAGTAATCTCTGGGATGTCAGCCTTAACAACATTTTCTAGCTAGATGAATCCTGAGGCAAGGGAAACAAAAGCAAAAATAAACTATTGGGACTACACCAGAATAAAAAGCTTTTGCACAGCATAGGAAACCATCAACAAAACAAAAAAAAACCAGCCTACTAGTTGGGAGAAGATATCTACAAATGATATATGTATTTTGGTTAATGCCCAAATATATAGAGAACTTACACAACTCAACACCAAAATAGTAATAATAATAATAATAATAATAATAATCTGATTAAAAAATGGGCAGAGGACCTGAACAGCCATTTTTCCAAAGAAGACATACAGATGGCCGACAGACACTTGAAAAGATGCTCAACATTACGAATCATCATGGGAAAATGAAAATCAAAACCACAATCATCTTACACCTGTCAGAGTGGTTAAAATCAAAAACACAAGAAATAACAAGTGTTGGTGAGGATGTCAAGGGAATTCTCATGCACTGTTGGTGGGAATGTAGATTGGTGCAGCCAATGTGGGAAATAGTATGGGGGTTCCTCAAACAATTAAAAATAAAAATATCATTTGATCTAGTAATTTCACTACTATTTACCCAAAGAAAATAAAAACACTAATTTGAAATGATATAGGCACCCTTATGTTTATTGCAGCATTATTTACAATAACCAACATACGGAAGCGATCTAAGGGTCCATTCATAGATGAATGGATAGAAAAGATGTGGTCTATACATTCTTTTTTATGGCTTAATAATGTTCTATGATACATCTATATGTAGATATAGATATAAACATTCTGAATAACAACAACCACAACAACAAAGATTGCCAGATTGGATTTAGAAGGAAAACCCAACTAGAAACGCCCTTTAACTGGAAGACACAGATAAGTTGAAAGCAAATGGATAGAAAAGATACACCACCATGTGAAGCGTAGACATGAGAAGGCTGGCTTGGCTATATTAATGTCAGAAAAAAACAGACTTCAGACAAAGCCTTTTACCAGAGATAAAGTGGGACATGATCAATTCATCAGGAAGTCGTAACCATTGTAAGAATCTATGTGCTTAATATTAGAGCTTTGAAATACATGAAACAAAAATCGACTGAAGTGAAAGAAGCCAATGATAATTCTACCACCATAGATACAGATTTTAATACCCCTATCAGGAATTGACTGAACGATGAGCCCAGCCCCTCTCCTTTGCCCCCAAAATCACTAGACATAGACCCTAGTGTAGGAATTGGTTACTGGGGAAGCTCCTCATTAGAGAAGCTGCTGCGGAAGGGATGCGGTGTCTTTGTAAACCCATTGATGACACAAAAATAATAAAATAAAAGTTTTTTAAATGAACGGATCTGAAGTATTTCTATTACTATTTCTTTGCATGTTCTGCATCAGTTTTTGTCCCAACATAATTTTCCCAGCCCCCCAAAGTGCACGAACGCTGTTTTCTAGACCTGTCCTGGACAGATTCCCTCCCCATTCCAGTCTCTACATAATTTTAAGAACATTTATTTTTTAATTGTGATGTTTCGTTCTACGTAGCTTCCTCACGCCGTATGTGCTGCAGGTCTGAGAAGGGGTATTAGCCAGAGGCTGCCTTGTTTATTTTGTGGTGGGACTATATTGGCACCAAGATGATGGCATAAATAGGCCAATTCATTTTCATGTTTTTCATCTCTGTTCAAAAGGCGGAAAACAAGACAGAACAATTTTTTTTTTTTTT